CCCCTACCCCCCCCCCCCCAGGACAATTTTAGAGAGATCCATACACTTACACACAAGTTATTGTCTGGAAACTAGAAAAAATGCAATGAAGTTTATTAAACTAAAGTTATTGGCAAATTTCCAATGAAATTTATTAAAAATAAAGTTTTTGGCAAATTTCCAATGAAGTTCATTAAACTAAAGTTATTGGCCAATTTCCCATGGAATTTATTAATAATAAAGTTTTTGGCAAATTTCCAATATACATAATTTAAAAGCAGTTTAGGTGAGATAAACAAAAAAGCTCCATCAGCAACATTTTATATTGGCAAATTTCCAATGAAGTTCATTAAACTAAATTACTTGGCAAATTTCCAATGGAATTTATTAATAATAAAGTTTTTGGCAAATTTCCAATATACATAATTTAAAAGCAGTTTAGGTGAGATATTCAAATGAGTTTCAATTACCAACCTTACACTGCCTTTTAAATTATGTTTTGTGCTTAAGTAATTGTCCATTAACCTGGAAACCCTTTTCCCCCCCTTTTTTGCACCTTATTCCTTAACGGTTTGAGCCATAACTCCCAAAGACAATTCTTACCATCCCTTTGTGGTATTCCAATATCCAAAATCTAAATCCATGGTTAGATTCAGCATATCAAAGAACCCCAAGAATTCAATTTTTGATGAAATCAAATAAAGTTCAATTTTGGACCCTTTAAACCTCAATGTGAACCAATTTGATAACCGGGCCCAAATATCAAAAATCTAAATATATGGTTAGATTCAGCATATCGAAGAACCCCTTATATTCAATTTTTGTTGAAATCAAACAAAGTTTAATTTTGGACCCCGATTTGGACCAACTTGAATACTGGGCCCATAATAAAAAAACTAAGTACATGTTTAGATTCAGCATATCAAAGAACCCCAAGAATTCAATTTTTGTTAAAATCAAACTAAGTTTAATTTTGGACCCTTTGGACCTTAATGTAGACCAATTTGAAAACAAGACCAAAAATTAAGAATCTAAATACACGGTTAGATTAGGCAATTACCCCCAAAATCAATCCCAGCCTTCCCTTTGTGGTATGGTACCTTGCAGTACAATTTCAGAGAGATCCATACACTTGAACACAAGTTATTGTCTGGAAACTAGAAAAATGCTTATTTTTGGACCCTTTTTAGCCCCTTATTCCTACACGTTTTGGGCAATTACACCCAAACTCAATTCCAGCTTTCCCTTTGTGATATGGAACCTTGTAGTACAATTTCAGAAAGATCCACACACTTACACACAAGTTATTGTCATGAAACTGGAAAAATGCTTGTTTTTTGCCCCTTTTTTGGCCCCTAATTCCTAATATTTTGAGGCAATTACCCCCAAAATCAATCCCAGCATTCCCTGTGTGATATGGATACTTGTGGTACAATTTCACAGAGATCCATACACTTGAACACAAGTTATTGTCTGGAAACTAGAAAAATGATTATTTTTGAACCCTTTTTGGCCCCTTATTCCTAAACGTTTTGGGCTATTACCCCCAAACTTAATTCCAGCTTACCCTTTGTGATATGGAACCTTGTAGTACAATTTCAGAAAGATCCATACACTTACACACAAGTTATTGTCATGAAACTGGAAAAATGCTTGTTTTTTGCCCCTTTTTTGGCCCCTAATTCCTAATATTTTGAGGCAATTACCCCCAAAATCAATCCCAGCATTCCCTGTGTGATATGGATACTTGTGGTACAATTTCACAGAGATCCATACACTTGAACACAAGTTATTGTCTGGAAACTAGAAAAATGATTATTTTTGAACCCTTTTTGGCCCCTTTTTCCTAAACGTTTTGGGCTATTACCCCCAAACTCAATTCCAGCTTTCCCTTTGTGATATGGAACCTTGTAGTACAATTTCAGAAAGATCCATACACTTACACACAAGTTATTGTCATGAAACTGGAAAAATGCTTGTTTTTTGCCCCTTTTTTGGCCCCTAATTCCTAATATTTTGAGGCAATTACCCCCAAAATCAATCCCAGCATTCCCTGTGTGATATGGAACCTTGTGGTACAATGTCAGAGAGATTCATACACTAACACACAAGTTATGTCTGGAAGTTACAAAAATGCTTATTTTTGGCCCCTTTTTGGCCCATTATTCCTTAACTGTTGGTACCATAACCCCCAAAATCAATCCCAACCTTCCTTTTGTGGTATTGAACCTTATGGTAAAATTTCATAGAGATTCATTCACTTAAACTAAAGTTAGAGTGCGAAAACCAATGTGTCTTCGGACGACGCCGGACGACGCCAGACGACGACGACGACGACGACGACGACGACGACGACGCCAACGTCATACCAATATACGACCGCAAAATTTTTTTGCGGTCGTATAAAAACTTAAAAACTTAACTTTGACCACTGAACCATGAAAATGAGGTCAAGGTCAGATGACACCTACCAGTTGGACATGTACACCTTACAATCATTCCATATACCAAATATAGTAGACCTACTGCTTATAGTATCTGATATATGGACTTGACCACGAAAAAACTTATCCTTGTTCACTGATCCATGAAATGAGGTCGAGGTCAAATGAAAATTGTCTGACGGGCATGAGGACCTTGCAAGGTACGCACATACTAAATATAATAATCCTATTATCTCATAATAAGAAAGAAATTAACATTACAAAAAATGTTGACTTTTTTTTCAAGTAGTCACTGAACCATGAAAATGAGGTCAAGGACAATGGACATATGACAGACGGAAACTTCGTAACATAAGGCATCTATATACAAAGTATGAAGCATCCAGGTCTTCTAGCTTCTAAAATATAAAGCTTTCAAGAAGTTAGCTAACGCCGCCGCCGCCGCCGCCGGATCACTATCCCTATTTTGAGCTTTCTGCGACAAAAGTCGCAGGCTCGACAAAAATTAGGTGTTGATGGCACGATTTGGCAGATGAGGAGTTTAAAACCAAGCATCTGAGGGACTGAAATTTGCCACAAATTTTCTTAGAGGGCCTTTGACAAGGTAACCATCCACCTCCTTTTTCGGATATTAAATGGAATGCTCTTAATTGTTTGTCTTCTCGTCTATTCTCATTTGGTCATAATGTTAAAAAAATTGAGAATGTAAATGGGGAATATGTCAAAGAGACAACAACCCGACCAAAGTGCAGACAACAGCCGACGGCCACCTATGGGTCTTCATCATAGCGAGAAAATCCCGCACCTGGAGGCAGGCTTCAGCTGGCCCCTAAACAAAAATGTGTACTAGTTCAATGAAAATGGACGTCACACTAAACTCCAAAACATTTAAATGAACTAAAATTAAAAAATATACAAGACTAACAAAGGCCAGAGGCTCCTGACTTGGGACAGGCGCAAAAAATGCGGCGGGGTTAAACATGTTTTGTGAGATCTCAACCCTAACCCCTGTACCTCTAGCCAATGTAGAATTAACAAATACACAGCAATACGCACAGTAAAACTCAGTTAAAAAGAATTCCGAGTCCGATGTCAAAATAGGTAACAAAAGAAACTAAGCAAAATGACAATGATACATAAATTAACAAAGGACTATTGCAGTTACTGGCATGCCAGCTCCAGATCTCAATTAAACTGATTGAAAGATTATGTCTTCGTCATATGAAAATCAAGCACAATCCCTCCCGATACGAGTTTAATATCACACCATCATAAAATATACGAGAAGAACATAACCCGTATCATGCCAACAACTGGTTTTAGAATAAATGTGTTTATTTCCGATGCAAAGACCCTATAAGTGAATCATGTATGTCCTGCTGCTTAGGATTTTATTTTAGACTGCTCACTCCTTTGGTTTCTGACTATTTTTAGATTGCTCACTTTTTTGATATCTTCATATTTCTAGATTGCGCACTTTTGATATATTCTAATTTTTAGATTGCTCACTCTTTTGGTATATTCTATTTTAGATTGCTCAATCTGTTGATATCTTCATATATTTAGATCGCTTACTCTTTTGATATATTCAAACTTTTAGATTGTCACTCTTGTGATGGCTTCATTTTCTAGATTGCTCATTTTTGATATTGTTCATATTTTTTAGATTGCTCACTCTTTTGATTCCTTCATTATTTAGATTGCTCATTCTATTTATATCTTCATATTTTAATATTGCTCACTCTTTTGATTCCTTCATTATTTAGATTGCTCATTCTATGTATATCTTCATATTTTAAAATTGCTCACTCTTTTGATATCTTCCTATTTTTTTCTTAGATTGCGCACTCTATTTATATCTTCATATTTTTAAACTCTTATGATATATTCAAAGTTTTAGATTGCTTATTCTTTTGATTTCTGAAAGTTTTAGATTGCTCAGTCTTTGATTGCTTCATTATTCCAATTGCTCACTCTTATTATATCTTCACATCTTTAAATTGATCTTAATTTTGGTATATTCAAATTCAATTTTATATAGCTCATTCTTTTGATTTCTGCATATCTAAAGATTGATCACTGTATTTATTTTGTTTTCATATTTTTAGATTGTTCACTGCATGTTATGATGGCTTAATGTTTTTTTTTTAGATTGCTCACTCTTTTTGATATCTTCATATTTGTAAATTGCTCACTCTTTTTACATCTTCATATTTTCATATCTTCATATTTGTAGATTGTTCAATTTTTTTATTTCTCCATATTTAAATAGTGCTCATTATTTTGATATCTTCATATTTGTCAATCTAATTAAAATATAGTTCTGTGATTTCGTTATACTCATATATTTACGAGTACGCGAGTTAATGAAGGTCTGAATTTACATCAGATTGCATATTTGTAGATTGCGTCCTCTTTTGACATCTTCGTATATTTTTTTTAGAATGCTCTCCATATTTTGAGAATGCTCACTCTTGTGATATCTACATGTTTTAAGATTTTTGGCAATTATACCAGATCTCCTTACTTTATATTTATGAGAATTTTTAATGGATTAGACTAAGAACTGGACTAGGATCTAGGTATATCAATAATTTTATCTATTTTGCAAATAATACAATTTTAATGAAAGACTTACATTTAAGAATGATTAACAACATTTACAAAAACAATTAACAATCTTGAAAATACATTTATACATCAATTAATGAACCTAATCGTATTCGTTTCAAGTCAACAATGAATGAACCTAATATAACAGCTTTAAATCAGGCAGTAATTGTTGCAAAAAATGTCCGGCACAAATCGTTTCCTTAAATATCCAACCAACTGTGTTTTAGCAGACGAGAGTGTAAGTTTGTTAGAAATATCACAGTTCTGTCGGAATGTGTAAAAGTCTGTGATTGGTTAAACGCAAATAGTACTGAATTAAGTTCTTCTCCAAATCAGTTTCATGAAACAATGGTGATTCAAGGGTTCATTATGCTGTAAATACAGTCTTTTGAATAAGTTAGAAGTTTTATACATATGCGGAATTGATACTGGCTGTACATTTGAGATCTTTTGTTTCAGATTATCATATATACTATATGATTATCCATTCTTCAATGCAGTTTTATCTTTTAAATTATTTTTCCTTCTTTCTTTCTTCGCTCTCTTAGCTTTAGGTCCAAGCGTACGTCTTCTTTTCGTTCTTCTATTTTTTCTATTTTTCTGTTTACGTCTCCGTCTTTTCTTGGATTTTTTGTTTTTTCGCTTTAATTGTTTTCTATTTTTTCGTCGTTTGGCACTTATATCAAATTCTGTCTCTTTATATTTTACATTTGTTCCGTGTTCCTGTGTTCCTACCATTCCACACGCCCCCTTGTGGGCCATTCTGATGCGTTTTGATTTGTGACATGATGTAACTCTCAAGTGACACCTAGATTCATACGTATTTCCATCTTTGCCACAAACGTGTCTCCGTCGGCCTTTGCAAACAAATGGGTTTGGACAAGTACATAGTGGCAATCCCTGCATGTTTTCCATACAGACTTTAAACCTAGGACACGACACTTGCTTACAGGCACCATCTGTGAAGAAAAAAGATAAGAATTGCAATGTAACAGTTTAACACATACACATATATATAGATATAGGCACTGGACACACTACAGGCGTTGATGACACAATGTCACAGAAGCAAGGGTTCGAATCCCGCAATGAGATGAACAAAAAATTGCGCAAGCAAATATGCAGATTGGTGGGCTAAATTTCATAAATAAATGTTATAGAGAAGTGAAGGCACGCCTATTCCAGTTTACGTTACACACGCGAGCGCGTCATGGATGCTAGTTTCTAAGGGAGCTACCATTTGATTATTATGGGGGGGCTAGGATGAAATTTGAAAAAAATAGGCAGGACAGGAGTTTTGAGTAAAAAAAAAGGCAGGATGAGACATTTGCAAAAAAAAAAAAGTCAGGATGACAATTTAGGTAAAAAAAGTCAGGATAAACTTTAAAAAAAAAGGCAGGACCGAACAGAGTGAAAAATAAAAAGGCAGCATAGAGATTACAACTAAAAAAAAATGCAGGACAACATTTTTCATCCTAGCCCCCCATAAAAATCAAATGGTAGCTCCCTAATGTAAAAAATAGGAAAAAAAAACGTCTGAAGGATGTGCACACTCAAAGAGCTTTTCATTTAGCACCATTAAGAAAAATAGCTGTACGTTCCCTTCTATATCTTATTGTAATGACTTTTCGTGAGACGACAATTCATCTTTTGTGGACGTTTGAGCATGTTTTTTTTCTCCCTCGGAACAAACAATTTGACAACTTGAATCATAGTAAAACTATTTTGGTGAATAACATACAGGAATACGAATTGTTGTTTAAATCAATGTTTATTTGTTTTTGTTTTTTTTGCTATAATTTTCATTAGAAAATAAAAATTTGCCTTCAATTTTATAATTTTTTTCCAGTTTGGAGGCCCTATTTGTCCTAAAAATTGAAGTAATATAAAATGAACTAGAGGCTCTAATGTCGCTCACCTAGATCTATGCGCTCTTCGACAATTGACATTTTCAAACATTGCAGACTAGAATATAATTTATAACTAAATTCTCTTTTTTGTTGAATTTGTACTACTTCATCATTTTTTTCTGTTCAGTGTACAGTTTATCCCTAGCTTCTTAAATGTTATCAAAACACAAAAAAGGTAAAAAAAAATATCGTCATTAAAGGGCAATAAGTCCTATAAGTCATATATGCTGGCATATTTGCAAATCTTACCTTGCTGATCAATTTTGCTTCTTAAAGTTTCTATCTATCTTATATAGCCTTCATGATAATAGGCAGACACGCAATGAATTAGTAAAAATTGTCATTTAAGGGCACTTACTCATATAAAGAGTTGACAAACGATTTCAGAAATACCAACTTATTTGGAGGTATTGCCTTGTGGATCACTTTTTCTATTTCAAGTTGCTCTCTATATACCATAGTTTCAAACTAATAGGCAATTACACCAAAAACTGGTAAAAAATAAGGGCAATGAATCTAATATGGAGTCAACTGACAATGATTTGACTGACAATTCTAGTCGTTTGACTTATTTGAGATGAAGTTTCTATACAACGTGTTATATTAAAGTATATAGGTTTTTTTCAAAGACAAGTGCCTTTGCTAGATACCCCAGTGATAATTGTGGCCAAGTTTGGTTAAATTTGGCTCAGTAATTTCAAAGGAGATTTTTGTAAAAGTTTGTGAACAATGGGCGGACGATGACAGACGACTGACGACGACGACGACAGACGCCAGGTAATGGGGAAAAGACAACACTGCCCGTATGGCCAGGTGAGCTTTAAATTATATACTATAAACTAACATATTTTCGCGTGTAGTAAACACTTGTATGAGGGCTGTTTTTCCTGGTAAATTATTTTGTTTGTACTTAATTGCATGTGCTCCATATTTGTGGGTCCAAAATCTGTTGAAAATAGACCACAATCAATGCATAACTTAAGAGTGCACACGCTGAAATGTCTCGTTTGCTTTACTGACCATTGATTTTATGTTGATAGTCCTAAATATAAAGTTTTACTACAAGTATCACATTCACAGGTCAAGGTCGGATAAACCAAGCGAGAAATACATGTATACCTTACAATCATTCCATACACCGAATATAAATTGACTTATTGCTTTTAGTATACAAGAAACAGACCAAACCCTGAAAACTTTATATTGACCAATGAACCGTGAAAATGAGGTCAAGGGCAGATGACCCCTGCCAGTTGGACATGCACACCTTACAATCATTCCATACACCAAATATAGTAGACCTATTGCTTATAGTATCTGATATGTGGACTTGATCACAAAAACTTAACCTTGTTCACTGATCCATGAAATGAGGTCGAGGTCGAGTGAAACTGTCTGACAGGCACGAAGACCTGACAAGGTACGCACATTCTAAATATAGTTATCCTCATGATTATTCATAATGAGAGAGATATTAACGTTACAAAAATCTTATTTTTTCTAGTAGTCACTGAACCATAAACAATGAGGTCAATGACAACGAACATGTAACAGACAGAAACTTCATAACATAAGGCATCTATATACAAAGTATGAAGCATCCAGGTCTTCTATCTTCTTACATATTAAGCTTTTAGGAAGTAAGTTAACGCCGCCGGATCACGATCCCTTTGCCCCGCTTTCTGCGACAGACGTCGTAGGCTCAACAAAAAACGAATGAAAAGGCTTTTTTCCATAACGTCACGACAATATATTTATTATGACGTGACTGATCGTAAAAACTATCTGTTTTTTTATTTTTAATTGCCTCATGATGAGCTCATCTTTTGACTAGACAAAAATGGAAATCTTCCTGCAAGTTTAAATTTCAGTGAAAATTATGTCGAATAACGCCCTTACCGCACAATATGGACAATAGATCTACTCCCTCCCCCAATAATAAAAAAAAAAACACACATACAACCGTCACCACCACTTCGCACTCATGTCACGGCAAAATGAATGTTCTATGTCGTACATTTTCTACAATCAACTCATCATTAATAATTATATACGTATTTGAACTTTCCCTAACCCGATAATCAACTGAGATTATAAGTAAAGCGATTAATTAGCTTTTTAAAACAAAAATTGACACTATGACAAAATCGACTCGATTTCGGATTGTATCTTTTCCGAGCAGGTATTACCCCACTGGAATCCAAAAGGACAAAGGGCAAAACAATTTATCCATATTGATTGCGCTGTTATCGGAATTATGTGCGATTTATGGTCTGGATATTAACAACAGTTCCTACAATCTAATGAGTTGTATAATTTCACATGCTGAAAACGGATATACGTTTTTGGAACTAATAGTTTTGTTTTTGGAATCTACATTGGTCTTTTTCAAAATAGTCGTAGGCGTGGGAGCATGCATATCTTGTGATCGTAGCTATTTTCATTCATTCATAGCTTGTCACAAGTGAATGTCGTAGGCTGTTAAATTGAAAATTACTGCATGTAATCTTCGAATGATCAGCTGCAACTAACTGGACCTTAGATGGAGGTCTTAAAAGTACTAGTATTTAAACTCAAAAGTTCGAGATCAAATAACGTATGGTGTACTTTAACAGACAATTATTAGCAATAGTTACAGTTATAAATGTTAAACATTTTGCACGAAAGTTTGAACTCAATTAAACGTCACAAACACGTCCGCTATGAATCGAAAGTAATAAAGTGTTTTAAGACCTTGAAACAAAGCTTGTTAACATTGGCTTCGACGTGTTCGACTTAAATCATTCTAATCAAAATTCAAAACAAGAGATTAAAGTCTTTTCACTTGAACAAAATGTGTGTCTGTACGTCTATTTGATATCATATAATTTTTTTTTGGGGGGGGGGGGGGGGGGGGGTAAAAATTTCATATCTTTCGGACGATATTTGGAAACCCATATTTTGTCTTTTATGTCGTTATTATAATGCCACTTACTAGCAATTAATATCTACTTATTACTATTACTAATATTAAACGAGATTCTAAACGCTTGACTGACTTCTTGTTGATCCATAAACCAATTCATCTTCTGATATACTCACTTTGGGTTAGATTCTACGGAGTACCTTAATATCCCATGCTAAGAATAAACCTGTTAAATGCAATTTAAGGGTCCTATGAAGACTTAACAACTCATATACAATGTTTATATAATATAGATGCTCTAGCGTTTATTCGACGTAAATGTAAAATTTATACATTCCTGGTTTTCGAATGTTTGGTTTATCAAATCATTGTATTTGGTGACCTATTTCGCTCCCACATCACAGTTATTAATGAAAATAACAAAAACGGCATGTGTAGATATTCTGACGTTGGGCATTTACGAATTTTATCCCAATTTGAATATATCTTGTATATTTTCTAATCTCTTTGTCTCCACATGAAATTTGGCAGATTTGATTTCTAGTTTTTGTTACAAGGCTCGTTGCTGAATATTTGATAAATTTCAAGTTTTGCATCATTTATCTTCCCTTTGGATTTCCCGACGTGGGGCGTTTTGCACGGATCTTTATTGGGCTCCTATATTTGAAAAGAGCGTTTTCTTTCAAATTATTGTGTACATAAACATTAAGAATATTCGACTCGCTTACTTAGCAAGATTTTTTTTAAATGGCGTGGTCCCTCAATCCCGGTAGGAATACAAAAGGTCAATAAAATGATTTGTTTGCATGGCACATAGAATTTCTATTCAGTTCGTTCAATTTGATTTTTCCATTAAACTTAATTTAGCTATTACTCTGAAAGGATATTAAAAAAGAATACAAATAAAATAAGTTGTATTGAATGCGTCAATGAGAAAGCAACCCAACGACACAAAAAAAATAAATGGGGAATGTGTCCATGGGACACAGATGATGCCAACGCTTGCATATAACGTTATAAAGGGACATAACTCAAGAACTGTAAAAGTGACGCTACCCAAATTTGTACTTGATCTTACTTTTGTGGTAATAAGCAATGTTTATAAGTTTCATAACGTTTGGTTGAGGCAAACTAAAGTTAGAGAACAGAAACGAATATTTCAGCAATTTTTCCATTTGTAAAGGGGCATAACTCTATAGAACGGTAAAAGTGACGCCACCAATATTCAAAGTTGATCTATGTTTTGTGGTAATAAGCATTGTGTATAAGTTTCATAACATTTGGTTGAGGCAAACTAAAGTTAGAGAACGAAAACGAAAATTTCAGCATTTTTTTCATTTGTAAAGGGGCATAACTCTAGAACAGTAAAAGTGACGCCACCACAATTCAAACTTGATCTGTATTTTGTGGTAATAAGCATTGTGTATAATTTTCATAACATTTGGTTGAGGCAAACTAAAGTTAGAGAACGCAAAGCAATTATGGGACGTACGTACGTACGTACAGACGGACAAGGGTAAAACTTAATGCCCCCTCCGCTACGGCGGGCCATGAAAAAAAAAAAACAAAAACAAAAACCAAACATCCAAATGTCAACATCTGACAATTAAAAATACATGCTTGTTATTAATCAGCTTGTTTAAAGTTTTTTTTTTAAGTCAGGACCTGACTTATGTCTATAAAATATGAAAACAATTATCAGGAAACATATGCGGATCAAGAATTTCGAAAAAGGGTGGCCAAACTAGATAAAATTCGTAGTAGAACCGGTAAAAAGTCTAGATTAACCATGAATGAAGCTCCAGAAAGGGGGGCCCAGGCACCCCAGCCCCCCCTAAATCCACCTCTGGGAACTATCAACGATCTGCCATCAACATCAAGTTCCCAAATTACACAAGATATAGTGAGGGTCTGTATTGGGGTCCTCCATTTCTGTATTCTTTAATTTTTTCAGTCCTTTTTTATCTGTTTTTTATACTTTTTGCCCGTTATTCTCTATTCTTTCTATTTTAGCACCTCATTATTCTCTATTCTTTATTTGTTTGGTCTATTTTTCTCTAAGCTTTATATTTTTTGCTTAATATTCTCTATTCTGTAAACCCCCATGCATCCACACCCTCAACAATTACATTGAACTTAAAAAGCACTGACGAGGATCCTGAAAAATGATCACGTAGCGGTGTGAATTGGTTATTGTTTTACTCTCTCACTTAACTTTTCCTTTCAAAACGCTTCAACTAAACCAAGAATTTCAGTTGTGTATAGCTATGAACGAAGAAGTTAAGATTTATCAAACGTAAACCTTTCAAGCTCTTTATTGCTGGACATACGTTGGGTTGCTGTCTCTTTGACATGTATCCCACACGTCTCCTTTTCTCCATAAAAAGTTTGTCTAAATCGGCTAAACCAAAAAAAAAATTTGGCTTTATAAACGGTTTGTTAGGTACTCCGACATCTTCACAACACGCTCTTAGCATAACTGATATACTAAGCCATTAAAGGAAACAACCGAACTTCATTGAGTGGAATGGAATTGCGGTAAAATTTAAATATATAAAACTGAAGGACTGCGCCATAGTTAGTGTGAGCATTATTCGAGGTGCCTTTTCCATGCTCACACAATATTATAATATTGAGAATATACATGGCATCCAACACCTGTGTCTGGAAAGATTTTTGCAACGGAATACATATGTGAATATCGATTGTGTATGTGCCTATCCCAAGTCAGGAGCCTGTAGTTCAGTAGTTGTCGTTGGTTCATGTCTGTCATATTTTTTTGTCGTAAATTGTTTTGTTATAATTATTAGGCTGTTAGTTTTCTCGTTTGATTTGTAACAGTTTCACATTTTTTTATTTCGGGGCCTTTTATAGCCGATTATACGGTATGGGATTTTTCTCATTGTTGAAGGCCGTACGGTTGCCAATAAATGCTTACATCCACACTTCATTTGAACTCTGGTGAATAAAAAAGTATAACAAAAAATACCGAACTCCCAAGGCAAATTCAAAAAGGAGGAAGTCCATTAAAAAATGAAAAATATAAATCAACGGAACGAGCGGAGCGAGTGAAAAACAGCTGTCTATTCTATGTCTATGTCTGTATTGTGATTGTGTATTTAAATTCTATGTATCTATGCTAATCAATGTTCTTTTTTCCTTATACATATATGCCCTTTGTGGGCCCTTAATTGGAAATAAAATATGTTCTTGTTCTATTCCTGACTTGGTACAGGTATTTTTCGAAGAAAATTGTGGGTTAAACCTGATAGTTGGTATAGCTGTCGCTTTATAAAGTTAAAGGGAAACAACTCAAATTATCTTAAGAAACGAAACCTGAACTGCACCCATCTGTAATTTTCACATCAATTACGCCTATGGAAATGAACACTTGTAATTTATTAAGTTTATGACTGAGGATCTGTGATTCATATACATTTATAAACCACAAGAGTATCAAGTTTCACTGATATTAAGAGTTTTTAATAATCTTAATATAGGTTAATGTTTGATTGACACCAATTTCTCGTACAGACATCACTAAGATTTTTTGCTTGTTAGTTTAATTTAAAATAAGTTATTACATAACGGTATACTTATCTCCGATTACATTAAAGCGACCATAAAAGTCAGTTTATAATTTATACACTACTATAAGCCTTAACAATGACAACCGTTCTGCTGAATAAATATGATAAAATTATATTAAAGAATTCAGGGGGTGGCTTTAACACCTTTGTAAGTCAACATTTCGTAATTTATGTAAACAGTATACTTGATGAAAATCTATAATACTTGTCTGAGCTATGTTTTTACATGTACATTTGTCAAATTTCTACACAAATACCGTCTGACACAGTTAATCATGAGCTGATAAATAAATACATGTTTTAAAGACCAGTTCGTGAGAAAACTATAAAAATAGTGTAAAGCTTCTTAATTCTTTCAGTATTAAGTGTGAAAACAGATAAATGTAGTCACTCAATCAACTTTATGGTTAAAAAGTGGGTCTAAACTCATTTTGTATCCATGTGATAAAGTTAAATTTATAAATATAGTTTCTAGGAATAAGGATGATATACTTTACACATCATACAAAACCATTCGAAAAATAAAAGAATTATATCCTACCTTTTTGAGCGTAACTACTATTGAATCCAATATTCGTAGAACAATCCGGACAACAGCGACATCTGTCTTTTACAATTTCACCGTCACAGAATTGTAATTTTGGACACTTTTTTAAGTCACACTCATTTGGACACGGGGTCTGATATCTCTTAAGAGGTTCTCCCCAAGTCAAATTGATGAACATCCACAATATTAAATTGGATAAAATATAGCTAAGTTCCATCTTATTTTTTAAGATTATATTTTAATATTACATTACATTATATAAATGTTTTAACGTCTAACTTGTTCAAAAGACAAAATTATAACATCGCGCAATTTAAAGAACAAATTGGTTAAAAGCTCAGATTTATCCTATTGGTTCACCTCGGACAATATTAGTGTGTTCCAAGAACAGGGGACAAAGGTAGTCTCGTTCACTTTAAAACAATATTTTATGTTAATCAAATCTGAACATACATTTTTTTAAAACTTATTATATTCATATGACTACTTTAGAATAATAAATAAGGAGATATAGCTAACCAAACTAGTCCCTATATTGATATGCAGTGTAACGAATACAGACACCACCCCTTGAATTTAATGGATTAACCTAAGTAGTTTTCTCATCACTATACTATACTTTAATACAATATTGACAAATATGAGTAACTCTATCATTATTCTCATTAATCAAATCAGGATTGTATTCGATTTATAGATTAGAAGACTTCCGTGATCATCAATAAGATCGTATGCTACAAGGAATATTATTTTCTTATTTATTTCTGATGGGAACCGTCTGAAATCGGGCTGCATTCCGACTATTGTATCCAGAGGGATTGTGCATCAGACATTCCTTTGGAGTTCAATGAACATCAGATATGAGATTATCTCAGATGTACCCTCGGGAATGTCAGCATTTAGTATAAGAAGCTGCAGGAATATTTATTCAAATGTATTCACCCAATGCAAAGATAAAAAATATGTGACATGCCCAAAAGAAATCCATTAACGTATGAAAAATAGTTTTGTGTTTTGAACAGAGACATTTAAAATCAGTAATCTTCGTTTTGAAGCACCAAAGGATTTGAGGAATGATATTCTTAATATAACTACTTTAATCTGGATAAATGTGTCTATCATCAACTAATCACTATTCATACCATAAGTGATGGTGTGGATGGGGGGAAAGGGGGAGGGGGGTCCTTCATTTCTGTAGTCTTTAATTTTTTAGGCCATGTTTCTCTATTCTTTATAAATTTTGCTTGTTATTCTCTATTCTTTATATTTAAGCACCTCATTATTCTCTATTCTTTATTTTTTTTTTGCCTATTTCTCTCTCTATATTTAATTTTTTTAGCCCTTTATTCTGCATATTTTGCACATTATTCTCTATTCTGCAAACCCCATACAGACCCTCATAAGTATAGTACCGAGAACAATATACATATAGTAAATCAACACGTCCGATTGACTTTAATTTCCAGCAAACAAAACAACCTCCTTGGAGAAAGGAGGACATACTAAATTTTTTTTTTTAAATCGCATTAAAATATTTAACATCTCGCTCCACGCATAGATTTTTTAACCGGGCAGCCTGCGCTCGAAAGCCTGCAATAATTCTGGGAAGGTCACATGCTGAAAAAAAACCAGTCACGGTACCATGTAGTCCAAATAATTATGACGTCTAGAAAGGCTATTTTTGATTTTTGCTGTTACGCCTTCCTGCGAAAAGAAGGCGTCCAACAAAAAATATAAATAAAATGCTCCGCAGGGCGCAGCTTGATACGACCGCAGAGGTCGAACCCTGAACAGTTGGGGCAAGTATGGACACAACATTCAAGCTTGATACAGCTCTGAATTTGGATTGTAATTAAATATTTGACACAACATAGATTTCTGACACAGAATGAATGTGGTCTAAGAACTTAAAAATTTTAAATTGGACATTCACCTATTATGGTCCAATATCAAAAATCTAAATACATGGTTAGATTCAGCATATCAAAGAACCCCAAGAATTCAATTTTTGATGAAATCAAACAAAGTTTAATTTTGGACCCTTTTGACCTCAATGTGGACAAAGTTGATAACGGGGCCCAAAAATCAAAAATCTAAATACATGGTTAGATTCAGCATATCAAAGAACCCCATATATTCAATTTTTGTTGAAATCAAACAAAGTTTAATTTTGGACCCCGATTTGGACCAACTTGAAAACTGGGCCCATAATCAAAAATCTAAATACATGTTTAGATTCAGCATATCAAAGAACCCTAAGAATTCAATTTTTGTTAAAATCAAACTTAGTTTAATTTTGGACCCTTTGGACCTTAATGTAGACCAATTTGAAAACGGAACCAAAAATTAAGAATCTAAATACACTGTTAGATTCGGCATATCAAAGAACCCCAATAATTCAGTTTTTGATGAAATCAAACAAAGTTTAATTTTGGACCCTTTGGACCTCAATGTGGACCAATTTAAAAACGGGGCCCAAAATCCAAAAACTTAATACATGGTTAGATTCAGCATATTAAAGAAACCCAAGAATTCAAGAATAAAACCCCATTGAAATTGGTCAAAAAATAGGCAATTTATACGAAGTATCTTCTTTTGCACAATACTGTGCAATTGAATATTTCTTGCTATTGCGCAATATTGCACAATTGACAATTTCTTGCTATTGCGCAATATTGTGCTATTGGATATTTCTTGCTATTACGCATTACTGTGCAATTGAAGATTTCTTGCTATTGCACAATACTGTGCAATTGAAGATTTCTTGCTATTGTGCAATACTGTGCAATTGAAAATTTCTTGCTATTGCACAATACTTATTATATAATAATTTACACATCCTGTTTGGTGTGTATCTCCTACCATATCATTATTATTTGCCTTTAAATATAAATCAGAAATAACCAAATTAAAATGGAAAATTTAAAAAAAAAAAAAAAAAGGAAAAAAAAAAAATCCCCCCCCCCCAAATTTTTTGAACCCCCTTATGATTCATCACCCCCAAACTCAATCCCAGCATTCACTGTGTGATATGGAACCTTGTGGTACAATTTCAGAGAGATCCATACACTTGAACACAAGTTATTGTCTGGAAACTAGAAAAATGCTTATTTTTGGCCCATTTTTGGCCCCTTATTCCTAAACGTTTCGGGCAATTACCCCCAAACTCAATTCCAGCTTTCCCTTTGTGATATGGAACCTTGTAGTTCAATTTTAGAAAGATCCATACACTTACACACAAGTAATTATCATGAAACTAGAAAAATGCTTGTTTTTTGCCCCTTTTTTGGCCCCTTATTCCTTAAATTTTGAGGCAATTACCCCCAAAATCAATCCCAGCATTCCCTTTGTGATATGGAACCTTGTGGCATAATGTCAGAGAGATCCATACACTAACACACAAGTTATGTCTGGAAGTTACAAAAATGCTTATTTTTGGCCCCTTTTTGGCCCCTTATTCCTTAACTGTTGGTACCATAACCCTCAAAATCAATCCCCACCTTCCTTTTGTGGTATTGAACCTTATGGTAAAATTTCACAGAGATCCGTTCACTTAAACTAAAGTTAGAGTGCGAAAACCAATGTGTCTTCGGACGACGCCGGACGACGCCAGACGACGACGACGACGACGACGACAACGACGACGACGACGACGACGCCAACGTCATACCAATATACGACCAAAAAATTTTTAATTTTTGCGGTCGTATAAAAATTCGTAAGGGTTCCGCGGAACCCAGTGCCTCGCCTACTTTTGCTGCTAGTCACAGGCTCAACAAAAATGGGGAAAAAATTATTAAAAATTTTCCTTTAGATACTATCTTTTGATTGTAAGAAGCTTCTGTCCAAGTTTGGTAAAAATCAGAATGGTTTATGAATCTAATAAATGTTTTTAAAACTTTAACTACAGACTGTATGTAATGTTAACTGGAAGAAAAACTAAGTCCATTTATAAGTTATATACGGAAAAACAGGAAATAATTTTTTACAAAATTTCCTTCTAGATACTAGTACTACTTTTGACCATAAACAAGCTTCTGTCCGTTTGGTACAAATCCAGAATAGTTTAAGAAAGTTATTGAATTTTTTAAAACTTTAACCACAGCATGAATTTTATGTTAACTGTCAGAAAAACTAAGTCCATTTATAAGTAAAATACGGATAAATAGGATACAAAATTTACTTCTGGATACTATCTTATGATCATAAACAAGCTTCTGTCCAAGTCTGTTACAAATCCAGGATAGTTTAAGAAAGTTATTAAAATTTTAAAAACTTTAACCACAGAGTGAATGTAATGTTAACTGGCAGAAAAAATAAGTCCATTTATAAGTAAAATACGGAAAAACAGGATTTTTTTTTACAAAATTTACTTCTGGGTACTATCTTATGATCATAAACAAGCTTCTGTCCAAGTTTGGTAGAAATCCAGGATAGTTTAAGAAAGTTATTAAAATTTCAAAAACTTTAACCACAGAGTGAATATTTGTGGATGCCGCCGCCGTCGCCGACGACGACGACGACGCCGACGACGCCGACGACGACGGAATGTAGGATCGTTATGTCTCGCTTTTGCGACAAAAGTCGCAGGCTCGACAAAAAGCCGTACAATACGTTATATATATATATGGTTATTTGGACTAGGTATCAAGAAATCCATGCATATGTTTCGGAGTCAAGTTAGTGTGACGTCCATTTTCACTGAACTAGTATACATTATAACAGTTTTTGTAATAATTTTAAAGAATTGCCCAAGGATAAAAAATATTTCTGGCTGTTCACAAATGAGCATTTACCAACTCTCATGTGCCTAGGCAATTATATAATTAAGTGTTTAGAAATAAGATCCAGGTGGATACACAATATATAAAATAATATTTAATTATTATGAAATTATTGTTATAGTTATGTAAGACACATGATGTGTTAGGCTCTGATCCTGTCCATAATATGATAGTATTATATTAGGATCTAGTTTTTCTTTTTTCCAATCATATTGTGCTTAATATTGTTGTAAATGATGCCCTTTATGGGTTCTTGATTAGATTAATAAAATTCTTATCTTACTAGTATCTTATCATTATTATCTAGGGGCCAGCTGAAGCCCGCCTCCGGGTGCGGGATTTTCTCGCTGTGATGAGACCCATTGGTGGCCTTTTGCTGTTTTCTCTCTTTGATCGGGTTGTTGTCTCTCTGAAGCATTCCCCATTTCCATTCTCAATTTTATATTAAAGAAGGGTTCAGCATACAAAATAACAAATGATGGTATGAATTGGGAATAAAATCCATCAGCATGTTATTGTTAACACAAAGATATTTAAGCATGCTCTGT